TCAGGTCAAAATTACTTCCTTCACTATCTTCAAAAGAAAGCAAGCTATTCTCCATGCAAATGTCTTATGTATAGAAGGTCCTCAATGCAACATTCATATAACAAATACATAAAAAGTCCAATTTTCCAATGATAACATGATAGGCTTAAGATTTCTTTAACTTGATCTCTTTACTATGCCCTAAGACTAAAGACATAAATTTAAATGTATATGTATAGTCTGTTCTTATAATTTTTCTCTAAGTTTTAAAGTAAAAGGTTACAAATATACATGTATACTTTTTAGTTTTAAGTCCTTACTTCCTTCAGTTTTTCATATATATTGACTTCATGATAAGCCTGCCTGAAAAGCTCAGATGGAATCATTTAAAAATAAGGAACAAACCAGCCTGAGCAAGAGCGAGACCCCGTCTCTACTATAAATAGAAAGAAATTAATTGGCCAACTGATATATATATAAAAAATTAGGGAATACACAGATTACATTCCTAGCCACAGTTTTAAGGTGTTCAACAGTCAGCATGCTGGCTACGTTGCTCCAACACACTGAACAGGATAGGTTTAAACAATATTTCAAGTCACAAGGAAAATTCATGGAAAACACTGGTCTACAAACATAATTGGTCTTCCTGTTTAGATATATAAAACATGGGGGGGGAGGATCATAAAATAAAGTAATTGCTATATTATTAACATATTTACACTGTACTAGTTAGATCCAACTTCTATTTTGTCACGCTCCAAAGTTTCAAGCCTGGTCTAATTTAAGAGAGAAGATCAAATGGAAAGATTATAAATCAATAGCTATTTGGCCTGAATTTTAACATTTCATAAAGAAACTTCTGTAACATCCTTGACCAAATGTCCATCGATTTTGTGCCTTGAGCGAATTGTAGCCCTTCGTAACTACTTGGTGTTATAATACCTGAGCAAGTCTCCTGCGCCTTTTAGGTTCCATTTTGGCCTCCTTTTGTAACATGGCAAGGAAAAGGAGAACTTACGTTGAAGACAGGCAGCACAACAAGACGGCGAGTAGGTACTACATACCACAATTACAGCGAACGCGCAGTGGTTCTCTGCTATAGAAACTAGACGGTGGCTAAATTTAGTTCTAATACCATTTAATCGTCTCATCTGCCTCTAACGTTAGCTGATATCTATGGTGCGTTCTCTAGAGCTAGATATTCGAGATGCTCTGTCCAGTGTGATATGACTGAGATAAACCAATTTGGTTTAACATTATTTGCTGGGCATGAGTGAGCTGTTTAATTCATTGGACAAGTTCGTTGAGCCTGAGGCCTTGTGATAGCATATGTAAATTCACAAGCCTCAACCTTCGGGAGCCGGTGAACGTATGTTTTTCAAGTTGCATATAATCACGCACAGAAATAAAATAAAAATTTTTAATTAAATTTTGAAAGGGATCATATTTGTGTATTAGAATAGAATTTAGTTATTCTATTTTCGTAATAAAACCTAGTTGGCTCCCAGAGAAAATTTTTTCGTCTGATAGTGAGGAAGGAAGCGCTGGAACGCTGAGGCCATGTGATCGTTGACTCTAAGAGTTAAGAAGGTATGTGGAAGCGCTAGAAGAATCAATCAGACGTGCAGTGTAAGAGATTGAAAACCAAGTCAGGTTCCAGAGCGCTAAGCAGTAATTAGAAAGGAAGCGGAGATCATGATGCCAACTAGCAGGAGTGCCGAATATATGTTTGAGCTCTGATGCGCTATCTTCCAGAGTTCAGGGTGCAGATGGGTGGATTGCACTAGATTATTCTTACGACCGCTGCTCTAAAAGCTAGGTGAACAGCACGGCGTTATGGGATGCTCTGAGCTTTTGAGGAGTTCTGTTTTTTGTTTTAGGTAGAAACTGTCTAAGTCAAAACAGTCGCAATATTAGTTTTCATATATTGTTTATGGACGCCAATTAGATTCTCATTGACCTGGTGGATTTGTGACTGGAAAGTACTACATCTTTTAGGTGACCACTGGGCCTGAAGGTGTCAAGTCTGGAGCTCTTGTAAACTAAAGGAGAGGTCAACGTTTAGACCTCAGTTTCATCCTCTCTTTCTAGGTTTTCCCAGTTTACCAACAAAATGTTTTGGTTAAGCACCTTTGTGGGAATTTTGCTTGGCCTTGTTTCATTTTTCTTTTTTTTTATTTTGAGCATATATTATGGGTATAAGAGAGAGTCAGATTTTAAGGTTTCAATAATGCCATTTCCCCCCCCCCGCCTTGTTTTATTATCAATACTAAAATACGAGAAGAAGTAAAAGAAAGATACTTGATAATTTTTTTTTTTTTTTTTTGGTAATCAGGTTGAGTATCCCTCTCTATCTGCAATGCTTGGAAGTACAAGTGTTTACAGATTTTAGATTTTTTCAATTAGGGAATAGTTGTATCGTATATATTCACTTATGTTGAGCACCGCATTGCCAAAAAGTCTGAAGTCCAAATGCGTCAGATGGAATGTTTCTTTGAATTTAATGTCGGTGCTCAAAAGTTTTGGATTTTGTAGGATTTCTCGTTTCTCAAAATTCGTGAATTAGGGATGCTTAGCCTGCACTAATAATAAGCAGAATTGAACATTTAGCTGTGCGTGTTACTAGAGTTGAGACCTGCTGATATCCGAGTGGTGTTGTGGTTTATAGATGTGTCTATGTACATATACAGGCATATGCTGCATTTTAACTGCGTGCTCCACAGATAATGAATTTTACAACAATTGAAGTTGTCGTGCAACCGGCATTGAACAGTCTATTGCGGCACCACTTCTCCAACACGGTAAAGTGTGCTCACTCGTATGTCGCGAGTGATCAATCTCTCACAATTTCATAACTTTCGTCATTATTTTATCTTTCTATCATAATTACATTATCTGTGACGTCAGAGCAATCTTTGATTTAGACTATAATTGTTTTGGGGTGCCACATCATAGCGCAAATTAAAGATTGGCCAACTTTAATCGATAACAGTTATAATGTTCTGGCTGCGCTTCACTGACTGTTCCCCATCTCTTTTCTTCTCCTGGCGGCCTCCTTATTCCTAGACACCGACGAATTGAAATTAGGCGTGCCAATTTAACCTTAAACATACCCCTGTTTTATGTTGAAAAAGAAGAGTAGGACAAGGCGACCTCTCACTTTTTAAAATCGAAAAAGCTAGGAATGATTAAGCTTAGTAAAGAAGGTATGTTTGAAAACCTTTGGTGCTGGATATTGAAGATCAAACCAGGACACTTGTAATCGCACTTAACGCCATACTAAATCTGGATTGTAATCGTTAACCTACTTCGGTACAATAGCTGACTATGAGTCGAGCCGTTTGCGTGATACAGAAGGTGCACAGCGTGGTGGTTGACCTTTTAGTCAATCAGCCCAAAAGCTTTTTACTTATCTAGCTTTTATTCTCGTGCAGATTGGAGTATTGCTGGGTTGTACATTCAGTTCTATAATAAGTCAGCTCATCTGTGACCTTTTAACAAGTTCCTTAGTGGTAGTTATTATAGTTGGTATGTACTAGCTGCCTGTAAAGTAAACAAGCTTCAGGTGGCTTTAAGGTGGTTCTCATCACATCAAGAGCGAAAACAGAATCGTCATCAATGCACGAGCAGCGAAAGTACCGTGCCAACTAGTAGTTTCCAGCTGTGGGCAACTGCTGGTTTAGTAGGCCGTGAGCATGTACTGACAGTTTGCAGCTGTGCTTAAGCGCAAAGCTAAGCTCCAGGGGAAGTGCTCATCATAATACAAGGCCCAGAATTTCTCGCAACAGACCAATGATGTAATAACGTTGCTCAAGGTCTGCTGAGATGGACACTGCGTTAGCAATTTTATCACAAAGTATTTTTAAATTAGGGGGAGTATAAGGTCATTCCATTGTGTTTTCTAGAATACATGCTATTGACACTTAGACTGACAGTGATCAGGTCCAGGGCATGGTGCCGCTTCACACCTGTAATGCTACGCACTTGGTTGAGGAAGGCGAAGACAGGTTGGATCGCTCAACCGGCAGGATTCAAAAACGATTTTCCAATGATAACATGATAGGCTTAAGATTTCTTTAACTTGATCTCTTTACTATGCCCTAAGACTAAAGACATAAATTTAAATGTATATGTACAGTCTGTTCTTATAATTTTTCTCTAAGTTTTAAAGTAAAAGGTTACAAATATACATGTATGCTTTTTAGTTTTAAGTCCTTACTTCCCTCAGTTTTTCATATATATTGACTTCATGATAAGCCTGCCTGAAAAGCTCAGATGGAATCATTTAAAAATAAGGAACAATTAGGATTTGCTTTTGGGAGCCCCAGCTATGACAATTGACTAAAAAGGCCTTTCGAGGCCACAGAATTACTTACTGATTGATGTTTGCTATAGTGTCCATCCAGCTGCGAATGCGCACTTTATTGCGGACATTAGGAGGGTTACTGAATTCATGGATGATGCAGATGTGATAGGGGTAGGGGCCACTAAACAGCTTCTGCTCCAAAGTTAGTGTGTCTACCTGTGGAAGACATCATAAAGAGGTATTTGGACCAAGAAAGAGAAAGCCTTAGAAATCTTTCTCCTAGAGCTTGAACAATCTTTCCTTGGGTCTTTAGTTTTGAAATCCCTGGATGATTTGAAAATCGAATCTTCACAATCAGCCCTGAATACAGCATGCCACACTGGGGTTAAGATTAGCAAATTCTTCTGTCTGATGAACTCAAGATTTCTCTCACTATTATGTAAGTGCCCATTATACCAGAGAATCCTAAGGTAAATGATCTCAGTCAACTCAGAATCTACTTCTGATATGTTCTTTATAGGTGTAAGTATCAAATGCATTATAGAACTGTCACTGTGTAGCATCATATACTACTCCACAAACTGGACTACTACATAGTTTTAAATATATAACACACTTTCTCCTTGTCTCCTTGTGGACTCTGTTCACATTGTTTTCTTCTCATGGAATGTCCTCTTCCCAGTCCCTAGTTATAAGATTCCACTCTGCCATCTAAGTGGCATCCTGTTTATTTCCTTTTTGGGAAGGCAAACCTCTTGAGGGAAGAATAATGTGCTGTGTGTTCTTTAGCACCCATCAGATTTTGAGTGTTGAGATACTCAACAATCTGTCAAACTCACTGCTTTGAGGCCATGCATACACATTTACTACAAGGGTGGTTTAATATTTCCTTTAAACTGTCTTTTGGTGTCAAGCACAGAATCTCAAATACAATGTTTACTCTTAATACCTGATTGTTTACTATATACTAGCAACTGTTCCAGAATTTCACCTATATTAGATTAACATTACAATAACCCTAAGCGTACTATTAGTCTCATTTTACAGATGAAGAAACTAAGACAAAGAAGTTAAGTAATCTGATGCAAGCCAGACAGCCAGAATTTGAATCAGGCAATCTGAAACCAGAGTCTATGTTCTTAACCATAGATAACTTTTAGTAAGTACAAAAATCTGTTGAATAACAACTACCCTCATCATATCATATAATTTGTTTAAAAATATATAGAAATCTAGCAGAAACACATTAATGAAAAAGACTGGCAAAGATCTTGGTCTAGCTTGGTCTAGCGTTTAGAATCTAAAAAATCATTATTGTGGATTGAACAAATACATAAACTACAAAATCAAAAGGTTGAAGAAAAACAACACTAAATTCACCACAATATGTGTATCATCAAAAAGGAGCAAAGCTCCTTACCTGCTGCATTGGGCGTAGGTATATGATACGGTTTCTCTCAGGAGGCATCCTTAGTATCTGGTCTAGTACCTGATCCATATTTAGTTTCTTGCATTGTGCATAGTCAAATCGGTTGACAATTGGTGCATTTTCTACTTTCAAATGTTTCAGTACCCTGCACCTGGTAGCTACAAAATAAAAAAAACAGTGGTAACCTTTTTAATTAACTTATATAAAATAACAGAACAATGTATAGACCATTTGGAATCTGCTTTGGAGGCCTGGACTAATTTATATTAGCACAAAAGACTGTAGTTATAACATCTTTAACATAGGTCAGTCAAGTACAAATTATAAAGTACAAATGAATGACAGTTAACAAAAGGATTTGAAAATATAATTCTGTTTAGTTCAAAAGAAGGTGATTACCTTCATGCTAGAAGGGACATTAATGTGTCTTTTTCTATCTAAGATTTTACTGTTAAGAAAACCAAGTTCTAGAAAATGACTTGTCCAAACAGGAATTGTTTAGGAAATATTTATCGAAAAGAATGAATGATAACTATTAAGTTATAAATTTTTGTAGTTAATGGTCAAATAAACCTAGAATAATTCACATATATATCCTACATTCACTCACAGGAAATGAGCAGAGATGATGTTAATCCTTATCACCAGTATAAAAGCAGAACCTTAAAAATAAAGACCTAGAAATAATGGATACTTAGGTCTAAAGCTTTATAGTCGAATATGGTAGCCACTAACCACCTGTAGCTATCTAAATTTAAATTAATTAAATATAATTAATTGTAATTAATTAAAATATAATAAAATTAACAATTCCATTCCTAGCCACAGTTTAAGTGTTCAACAGTCACATGTGGCTAGTTGTCAACACACTGAACAGGATAGTTAAACAATATTTCAATCACAGCCGAAAATTCTATGGAAAACACTGGTCTAAAACATAATTGGTCTTCCTGTTTAGATATAAAACATGAGATCATAAAGAAAAGTAATTGCTATATAATAAACATATTTAACTGTACTAGTTATATCAACTTCCATTTTTTCACCTCAAATTTCAACCTGGTCTAATTTAAGAGAGAAGATCAAATGGAAAAGATTATAAATCAATAGCTATTTTGCCTGATCTTTTTAACATTTCATAAAGACAACTTCTGTAACATCCTTGACCCAAATGTCATCATTTTCCTTAGCAATGTAGCCCTGTAACTACCTTTGGTGTTTAAATACTGAGCAAGTCTCCTGCCTTTTAGGTTCATTTCCTCCTTTTGTAACATGGCAGAAAAAAGGAGAACTTACGTTGAAGACAGGCAGACAAAAGAGGGAGAGGACTACATAACAATAAGGATCCAATGGTTCTCTGCTATAAAACTAGACGTGGCTAAATTTAGTTCTAATCTCATTTAATCGTCTCATCTGCCATTAACTTAGCTGATATCTAGAGACTGAGCTAATTATTGAAGATGCTCTGTCCCATGATAGACTGAGATAAACAATTTGGTTTAACATATTTGCTGCCATGTGAGCTGTATTTAATTCATGATAGTTTTGAGCCTGAGGCCTTGTGAAGCATATGTAATTCACAAGCCCCTACCTTGGGAGCCGCATGAACTATTTTTCAAGTTGCATATAACTCACGCACAGAAAATAAAAAATAACAAATTTTTAATTAAATTTGAAAGGATCATTTTGTTTTAGAAATTTTATTCTATTTTCGTAATAAAACACTGTGGCCCCAAGGAAAAATTTTTTTTCTAGTGAGGAAGAAGCCCAGACCTGAGGCCATGTGATCCTTGACTAGGTTAGAGAAGGTATGAGGAGAATCATCAGAGTGCAGTGAAGAGATGAAAACCAGTCAGGTTCTCAGAGGGCTCAGAGTAAAGAAAAGAAGGGAATAAGATGCCAACTAGCAGAGTCTGAAGTTTGAGCTCTAGATTCTCAGAGTTCAGGGTCAGAGGGTGGAGTGCTGACTTATTCTTACACTGCTGCTCTAAAGCTAGGGTGAACAGCACTGCTGTTATGATCTCTGAGCTTTTGAGGAGTTCATGTTTTTTGTTTTAGGAGGAAACTCAGTAGACAACAGTGATTTATTATATATGTTTCAGGACCAAAGATCTCATTGACCGGGATGGAGAAAAGTACTACATCTTTAGGGTGACCATGGGGCCTGAGGTCCTCAAGGTCTGGACTCTTGTAGAACTAAAGGAGAGGTAGCGTTTGAACCTCAGTTTCATCTCTCCTTTCTAGGATTTTCCCAGTTTACAACAAAATGTTTGGTAAGCACCTTTTAGTGGGATTTCTTTGCCTTG